CCTCCTAGTTCTTTCCTCTGTTTCCTCTTGTCCCACCATCATGCTCAGCCTTCATCTGGGTTTTAGGAATTCCTCTCAGTTATATTGCCCTTGATCAAGCCTCCTATACCCTCCTCACCATCAATATTGGATCACTTGTTGTTCCCTTATCCCTGGGTTTGTTAATACCCACTCCTTTCCCCCTCCCACTTGTCCCTCTCCCATGTCCCTCGGGAACCATTGGTCCCATTTATTTCTCCTCCAGATTGTTTATCCCGCCTATTTTATCTAGATAGATCTGCAGAGATAATAATATGCACAAAAAACAAGACAGCAAAACAAAACAACAGCAACAACAAAAAGGAAAGCCTGTAAATAGTTCAACGTCTGTTTGTTGACCTTTAGTAGTGAGTCTGATGGGGTGCCATGCCCCCCAAAGTCTATTTCTGGTATTCCCTGGGGACTTCGTTGCTCTGTTCCCCTTGCTGTTCTGTTGCACACCCTTAGTGTTTTGCCTCAGTGTGGTGGGGTTAGATGGGGTGCAATTCCCACACTGTGTCTCCACTGTTGTCCCCTGTATGGGTCAGTGAGGGACATCATGTCTTGTAGTGGGGTCTTCTCTGTGCTTTGGCTTCTCTGAGCGGGAATATTGTCCTTAGGGGTTGGTGGGCCAGAATGTGCTCCACTCTCTCTTCCTCTCCCTTCATTTGCTCCCGTGTGCTCTGCTCAGACATGTCCCTCTCCCTGAGCTGTAGCTTCAATGTGTTGTCTTCTGAAGTGAATTCTTCTGCTTGGAGTGGGGGCTGTCCACGTAGTTGGGATTGGGGCCAGCCCCTCAGACCTCTCTATTGGTTCCCTGCTTCATGTTGGTATGTTGCGTTCACATCTTGGAGTACGGGGTTGAATCCAGTCCCTCTTTCCCTGTGGAAATATAAACAATACCCTCCCCTTGGGTGGGGTTTCCCCCTCATTTTTAGTTGGACATGTATTTGGATGCCAACAGATATATCTATAATCCATCCCTATAGTTATATAATTAAGCACAGGGGTCACAGGTTATCTCTTAGATTGACTGAACACATTTTTTTTTCTGTGTTTGAAGGCTTAGGATTATAGTCTTATAGAACAACTCAGTTAATTGGTCTCATATAGACCATACACTTTATATCCTACACCTCAGTTTGGTGAATAGTATAGTGGGGGGTCTTAAAAACTTGGGAGTGGCCATTTAAGATACAACTATAAGAAGGATTAACTGCTCACACAAACTGTGGCTTTTCTCATATACCCTGAGACCAAGATCGGATTAGAGCCATAATAGAAGGATACAGATATGATGGGAGAGTACTTGGAACATAACTCAAGTACTGATGATGTCTAGACTTACTGCACTGGTTGAAATTAGAGGACTCCTTTGAAACCATTGACCAGAGGAACTCATTCAACTTTGAAATGGATCACTAAGATCACTTAAAAAAAATCATTTTACTGGGGCTCATGCAAGTCTTATTACAATCCATCCATCCATCCATCCATAGTGTCAAGTACATATGTACAGTTGTTGCCATTATCATTCTCAAAACATTTGCTTTCTACCTGAGCTCTTGGTCTAAGATCACCTTTTAAAGAAAAGATTTGCTCATAAAATAAAGAGTATCACCTGTTAATAGTACACTCCTTCTAAAAAACAAAGCAAAAAACTCCCAAACAAACCAACACCCCACACACACACACACACACACATACACACATCACTATGAGCCCTACTGCTCCACACGGGCAGGGAAATTCGATTACTGGAAATGGGACATCCAAACGGAAATAAGGAGAATAGTCACACATTGTGTGGTTTTGAACCGTGCCACTAAATAACTTGTGTAGAAATAGTTGAATGGCCACCTATTACGCAGTATAAACCCACGGAAAAACAATAAAATATTATTTTAAACAAAGCAAATCAGATCAAAGCAACAGCAACACACACACACACACACACACACCCTCTGACACAAATGGGTCACCATGAATCAGAATTGACCTGAAGAAGGTCAACTAGTGGTGTCTTTTGTGTCTTTCTTCTTTCAGTTTTATCACTGATGCTCTTTTAGCTCGTATTCTAGATGCTTTTCTTTCTGAGGAGTACTTGACATTAAAAAACACATTCCTGCCCCCTCCCCACCCCACCCCCTGCTCTACCACACACCACTGTCCTAGTTAGAATAATCGATCAACCCAAGTCACTCCCTTTCCGATGTTGCCCGATGCTGCAGCTCCTGGTGGGATCCATAGAACCCCTCCAGCCAACATTCACAGCCTCATCCGCACCATCAGCCTTGCATCCACTCACCATGTGTCCCTCGCATCTTCTGTCCCTATTTACCACTAGGAGTTCAGGTTTCCAAGTCAGTCTGCACCACGAGAGTAATCTCCAAAGAGTTCTTCACGGCTCTTCTGGCCCGGTCTCCTCCTCTTCCCCTCTCCTGACACCTTCTCAGAATGCCCCTGGAAGCCCTGCCTCATCCACAATATTCCCTATGGATTCAACCTCTTCGCTGCACATTTTCCTCATCTTCCTGCTGTCATCGAGAGCTGACCCCTCCAGCTTCCAGGACATTGTCTTTGCCGCCTTCTCAAGTGGACCCTCTGGGCTTAGAGGGAAGAGAGGTGTCTCTTTGCTTCTCATTGCCTTCCTTCCTGAAAACCTACCCCTCTGATCTCAATCCCACCCCTCACCATGTGTGGCAGTCATCTTGGACCCTCAGGCAACCCCTCCCACTTTCCCTGAAGATTTTTGTCCCTGACTCACTGTTACTATCCTTTCATTAGGACCGGCTTCATAGATCCTGTCTTTGAATAGTCTTCCCTTTCCTCTCATTTCCTTCCTTCCATCCTTCCCTAGCTAAAATCCCTTGGGCCATCATGCCAATCATTCCAGTATACGTCCTCTACTCATGTCTGAAAGTCTCAACCTCATTCAATCCACCCACCAACACTCACGCAGGTCAACTTGGCTGGAGCACACAACACACAACACTGGTTTCATTTCAAATTCACGATCATGGGCCTCATCTGAGTTTTCTCTTTTGAGCTAATGGCTAGTGGTAAGATAACAATAACATGGAGTTTTCCATTTTAATCATGTTTAAGTGTATGATTCAGTGGCATTAATTATGTTCACAGTATGGTGCCACCATCCCCACTGTTTCCAAAACGCTTTATCACCCGGCATAGATCTCTCTATCCTCTAAGCCATAGCTACTCACCTCTCCATCGCCCTCGCCCTTGGAACCACCAATATAACTTCTCTATAAATTTACCTATTCAAGGTATTTTATGTCAATGGGGTCCTAGAATATCTGTCCTGTGCGTCTGACTTATGTCACTCAGCCCGTTCTGAGCCTTGCAACAGCGTCCTTACAGTTTTCCTTTGTCCCTGGTCCCTCTCAGCCTCCTCTCAAATCAGCAACCAGTTAAAACGTGGCACCCTCCTCTCCTCAGAGTTCTCCAATGGAATACCAACATGCTCGTCATTCCCAAAGACCTGATGCCCCTGTTGGATCTCACCACTCAGTCCATCACTCTCTGCTTTAACTAGACTAACAGGTTCTTCTAGCTGCCGGTACACGTCCCCTCAGAGGCTCTGCATTTACGGTTTCCTCTGCCTGGAGGGTTCTTCCCCTAGCTAATCTGAATGTTTTGTTTTCTCACCTCCTTCAAGTCTTTGCTTGAATTCTATGTCAGGAGAAGATTCCCCTAAAATCCACCTCAGTCACGCCCCTTGAGCCCTCTGTATTTGCCTTTTCTGCTCTGTTTTCTTCTTAGGTTATGCCACGTATTGATTTATGAATTCATACATCATACATTGCCCTGTAACTTCCACCACTGGAAGGTGAGCTCTGTGAGGGCAGGGGTTTCTGTCAATGCCTGAACAGAACCTGGCCCTGTAATCAGTTTCTATCTGGCTGGCTGTGACCCGTGGTGACCCCCCACACAACAGAAGGACGTGTTGTTGGGCCCTGTGCCAGCTTCACAGTCTTTGATTTGCTCAAGAACATTGGGGTGGCCACTGTGCATCCCGAGAGACTTCCCACCTATAGGTTCATCTTCCAGCTCTGTATTGGACATGATTCTGTTATGATCCTGAGGGTTTCCTTAACTGATTTTGGGAAGTAGATCTCCAGGCCTTCCTTCCTAGTAGGTCTTACTTTGAAAGCTCAGCTAAAACATGTCCACCATGGGTGACCCCACTGGTATTTGAGTTCCTGGTCGCATAGCCTCCGATGCCATAGCAACACCTAAATGAGCACTCACAGACGGGGGCACATTGAAGCCGTTCATGAAACACTTGTGAAATCAATGTCTGCTCTGCTCGTGGGGGTTGTGCACCAGCCCTTGGAGATGCCCAGTAGCAATTTTATATGCAAAAGTGGACCTTAGATGGGGTTTGCCATCAAGACTTGGACAGATGTAAGTGTCTTCAGATGTTCTAGGGTGTAGATTCAGACATCATCCCGTGGCGTGGAAAGGACAAAGAATGGAACCTCCGGAGCTATATGTGGTGAAAAGGTGGTTTGAGGAGATGGAGGATGACCAATGAGAAGTCACAAGATTAGCCTGGGAAGAATTGTGCCTCGGAAAGCAAGAGAAGACGATGTTTCAAGAAGGACAGGGGATAAGATGTGTGAGAGGCGGCAGAGAGGATAAAATGAGGCATAAACCTGAAAATCAATACATTCCGTTATGTACTACTGAAAGCTCAGAATGGAAACTGTCCTACATTCTGATCTAAGGGATTTTGAAGAGCTGAGGGTTGAGCACCCACGATGTCTACAGAGAAACTTGCTGTCAGCCTGAGTGCTGTTGTCATCGTACCAAATATCCTGTACCTCACCCGTCTACATTGATTGAACACCGAGTTTGATCACGGTGGCAAAGAGCACACTGAACTTGCACTGGACACGTTTAACTTATGGTTTAGAGTGCACGGTGTGTCAAAGTCAGGGTTCTCTAGAGACACAGAAGTGGGAAGATATATATCTATGTCTACATCTATATAATAGCTTCAAGGAATTTGCTCACATTATTGTGGGGCTGATGTAGGTCAGACAGCAGGCTAGAGACATTTGTAGGCTTATATCTCAAGATCCATAGGTTGAACAACAGGAAGGGTGTGTGGGGGGAGAGAGACAGAGAGAGACACACACACACACACAGAGACAGACAGACAGAGAGAGAGAGAGAGAGAGAGAGAGAGAGAGAGAGAGATTCTATCAAAATATCTATTTAAGGTTTTCAGGCAGAACACACCCAAAGGACACTCCCTTTCCAATTGGGTGATTGATTATATGGCGAAGAAGAAGAAAAAGAAGAAGAAGAAGAAATATCAAATGTACTGCCATCATGTCAATTCTGAACTGCCCTTGTGGGTTTACAAGACTGTAACTCTTTATGGGAGTAGAAAGCCCATCTTCCTCCCTCGGAACAGCTGGTAGTTTTGAACTGCTGACCTCACAGCTAACAGCTATGCATGGCTGCTGTGCCACCACTAGATTACATTAAAAAACAAAACACATCAAACTCACCACCATCAAGTTGATGCCAATGCATAGCCACCCTATTGGGCAGGGCAGAACTCCCCATGCAGTTTTCTGAGATTGTAACTTTAAAAAAAAAATCATTTTATTGGGGGCTCATACAACTCTTATCACAGTCCATCCATCCATCCATTGTATGTCAAGCAGAGATTGTAACTCTTCATGGAAGTAGAAAGCCTCATCTTTCTCCTGGGGAGAAGCTGGTGGTTTCAAAATGCTGACCTGTCGGTAGCCCAATGTGCAACCACTGAGCCAGCAGGGCTCCTTCTAAATTGCATTATGGAAGAGTAATTAGACTGATGAAGGGCCAAACCATGGGGCACAGGAGATTGTTCAGCACAGGGAGGTAGCATTTAAGTCAAATTGCTTTGATAGTACTACTCAACATCCACACACATCACTGAGGATCTAGTGTTATCTGTACTGCTCAACCAGGAGCCGTAGTGGCGCAGCAGTCTGCTCCCGTAAAACTACAGCCTTGGAATCCCTGTGGGCTATTCTACTTTGCCCCATAGTGTTGCTGTGAGTCAAAATCGACTTCCCAGCAATGGGTGTGGGAGCCCTGGCTAAGGAGCCGAGTGGCACCATGTTTAAAGTACTCAGCATCTAATGGATAGGTTGGTGGTTTCAGCCCACCCGTGACTCTAAAGAAGAAAAGACCAAGGACAGAGAAAGGAGGCTGTAGTGGCGACTGAATGAATACACGATGCATCTGAGGTACGTGGAGCCAGACTCTGAGGAGGGGGGGTGTTTGTGGATTGCTCTGAATAATGGTGCCCTAAACCTGTGCGCTGGTGCGGCAGCATTGAAGTGCTTACCTGATCACTGAGAGGCGTGGTCATTTGAACCCACCAGCCATTCGGCAGGAGGAAGATGTGGCAGTCTGCTTCCATAAAGAGTACAGCCTTGGCACAGGAAAGAGAGACCAAGAGACATCCTCATTCTGGTGCGGACCCCTGAGGGTGACGTTCCTGCTCGGAGCAGCTCATCCACAGAGAGGACTGCAGAGCTGGCCCTGGTTCCAGACATGAAGTCCCCGACCGAGGACAGTGCTACAGAGGAGAACCCTGACATACAATTTGGGGAGAGCGCCCGGTTTGACCAGCCCACACTGGGGCCAACCAAGAGGGGAGTGCAAACGACCAGCAAGGGGAGCAAAGACATGAGGTCCCTGAGGACTCTTGATAGCAGATATCTGATTCGGGGGGTGGGGTTGGGGGGCAGCACTTGGCACCTCACCTGGTTGGGGGATATTCACAAGGGGCCTGAACTGCAAGTTAAAGGTGTAACTGGATGGGGGGTGGAGCAAAAAAAAAAAGTATAGCCTGGGAACCCTATGGGAACAATGCAGGATCCTTATGAGTCAGAATCCACTCAGCAGCAATGTTGGGTTTTTTGGTTTGTTTTGGGGGGAGGGGGGGAGGTTTTGTAGAAATATGATGATGATAGGTTAATAAAACATTACTCCACCAAATTTCAGATCACGAATGAAATCGTGCGGCAGATGATGGAAATGGATGGCATGTATAGCTTAGACAAGCCCGGAGACTTCACCACCATCATCGACGTGCAGCTCATCGCCGCCATGATCCACCCGGGAGGTGGTCGCAATGATATCCCACAGCGCTTAAAAAGACAGTTTACCGTGTTTAATTGCACATTGCCTTCAAATGCTTCCATCGACAAGATTTTTGGTATGGAGAGTCTTGGTACTTAGGAAGGAGGGACTAGGAGGGAGGGGCTGAATACTACGGAGACTCAGGTTTCCGGGTGATTAGACTTGGAGACCTTCAGAAGCATCCTGGTGGATGGCTCGCCTTAGAGGTGAGCAAGTCTCAGAGCTTCGGTTTTCTTGACATGATTCATCAGAGAAATGACAGTATGTAAATGATAAGTTAATGATAATATGATACCACATCAAAGCTAGCCTCTGATGGACTCGTGAAAATGAGATTTTTATTTATTTTTATTTTTTGGATACCAAATTGAAACCTAAATTGTGTCATCAACAATTTATCAGAGAATCAGGTCCATGCAGCTCTGGCCATGAGCCATTTGATTTGGCAAGTACTGAGGGTCCGAGGAGAAAGAGCCGACTTTCTATGGTGGTGCTTGGACTTTTCGTGGTAGGAGTGGGTTGTGGGCTGGGTTCCTGACCACGAGGTTAGCCATTGGAAACCACCAGCCTTTCTGAGCAGCTTTTTGTACTTCCCTTCTTCTGAACATGTCGTGCTCCGAGCTGAATGTATGACTCAACTGATAGTCCGGCTGGCGTGAAGGAGAGAAAAATCTACTTTTACACCCTAACATCAAAGGCATTTTCTGAGTCAGTGTTGGTTCAACTGCCATGCTGTTGGGCGTTTTCTATGAATGGCCACATGTCCAACCCAGGACCCAGCCATTCAGTTCTTTAACAACCAACCCGTGGGAACCTTAGCCCTTTGTTTTCCGCCTGGGCCTGATCTTCTCCTCTGGAAGGGCAGAGAATAGTTGTGCAGCTCTCATTTGGTTCAGGGCGACTGCTCATTTACCATCTTTGAAGCCCGGGTGCCTGGTTCACCTGCCAGATTTGCCCACATGCATGCTGTGTGGACTGGGGAGAGGCACGAAGCTCTCTGTTGGGGTTCTTTCATATTAGGAAGATGTCTCAGTATCCTCAAACTCACTGTCCTCATCGATTCGATGCCAACTCACAGGGACCCTCTAGGACAGGGTAGAACTGTCCCGTGAGTTTCTGAGACTGTAACTCTTCACAGAAGTAGAAAGCCCTGTCTTTCTCCCCAAGAGTGGCTGATGGTTTTGAACTGTTGACCTTGGGGAATCACTGCCCAACTCATAACCACTACACCAATGGGGCGTGCCCTAGGGCTGTGTTAACAAAATACCACACAGCATTTGCCTTTAAAGCACAGAGAGTATTCATTCTCCTGCAGACCTGGAGGAAAGTTAAACTCAGGCTCCAAATCAGTCTCACTATTTCCTTCTGAGGACTCTGAGAAAGAAACTTCCGTGCTTCTCTCCCAGTTTCTAGTGGCTCCCAGCAACCCTTTCTGTCTTTGTGGTCACATAGCCATCCTACTTCTGTCTCCCATGCCCCGCTCTGTGCGTTCTCTTTTATAAAAGCACCACTTGCATAGGACGAGAGCCCACCCTATTCCAGCATGTCCTCATGCTAACTTCCAAAGACTCGTATTTCCCAGGAGGGCTTACATTCACAAGTTCACTAGGGTAAGACTTGGCTTACATTCACAAGGTCACTGGGGTAAGACTTCAACACCTCTTTGGGGAGATATTTTCCCATTTGTGGATCCCTAGTGGAGTAGGGAATTACTCGTTGGGCAGCGATCTGCAAAGTCAGCAGTTCAAAACCACTAGCTACTCCAAGGGAGAATGCCAGGGCTTTCTACTCCGGCAAACCATTACAGTTTCAGAAACTCACCGGGGGCAGTTCTACCCTGTCACTATGGGTCAGCATCAACTCGATGGCAGTGTGTTTGGTTTTTGAATGTATTCCATGTTTGGATTTCCTCCAGAACAGCCTATAACTAATGAGAACAATATCCACCTTATAATCTTTCTCATGGAAGGTGGGGAGGATTACTTGAGTTCATGCACAGAAAATACTTATCACTGTGTATGAAGCTTTGCTGGCCTCTCTGCTGAGTTCTCCGCTTTAGATGGCTCCCTGAATGAAATTCGTACATCACCCAGCTCAGTGGGCCCTGTAAGGATTTATTCTTCCCTGGGATATACGTGTACCTTGTAATCTGTTGGTAAGCTTGCATCGTTAATCTTGTTTATTTTCCAGGGATCATTGGCTGTGGATACTTTGATCCTTGCAGACATTTCAAGCCTGAAGTATGTGAGCTAATTGGGAATTTAGTCTCAGCGGGCCGAGTGCTGTGGCAGTGGACTAAGGTACAGACTGGGCAGCCCCGTTCTCCTCAGGGCTCATTAAGTTATCCGAGCATCCTAAGTATAGCAGTATGTTTTCAGAAGAGACAAACGACCTGTGCAGGTGGATTTATGACACCTTTCTCCTCTGGGAAGCAAACCGTCTGACTGAATGAGGTTTCCAATATGTATGAGATGTAACTAAGTCAGATGTGACGTCCGAGACTCAACTGAATTTTACTGAAATGAGGGCATTTCCTTTCCACCGGTCCCTCTGACTAGTATGCTTGTCTCCCCATCGCCACAGCGTCAGAATGTCTCACACATGTTTGCTGATTGAGCAAATACATTGAGTACCAGACAGTCCTCGCTCCGCGTGACTTGAGGTCTCGCTCGTGTGATTTTCTGAGGTGGCATGCGGGTTTAGGACATGAATGCGTGTGCTCTTTAACACTGGGGTGCCCTGGGTGTTGCCAATGGTTTGTGCACAACTCCCAGCCTCAAGATTGGTGGTTTGAACCCATCCAGTGGCACCGTGGAAGAAAGGGTGTTCTGCTTCCATAAAGATCATGGCCAAGAAAAGCCTATATAACGGTTCTACACTGTAACACGTGGGCCGACGTAAGTCAGAGTTGACCACATGCAACGGTCATTCATTCTTAACAAAATGGACTAGGCTTCCATAAACAAGGCTGAGACGTCTGTCAAGCTGAACATACCTATAGCTGCCACCAGATGACTTGGGCAGCTCTTGTAGAAAGCGTAGGTTTGAGATGAAAAGAAAAGATGGAGGTTACACTTGGCAAAAAGTGGTGAAGGCAATGAGGTCTAGTTGTGGTATCAGAATACTTAACGATACTCAGGCAGAACTGATACACAGAGCAAGGGCAGTGAAAGCCTGGTGAGGTAGTTAGTTTATTACACCAACCTGGCCAATAAACACATGTGGGATTAATTGAAGGGCGGAGGGATAAATGGCTCAGTGAGCCTCGCCTTTCTAGTTCTTGGGTCTCTTGCTTTGTGATGGCTGGACCAGGGTGCAGCTGCCTTAGCCAGTTCCCTGCTTCAGCTGCCAAGGCTCACTTCCTGCAAGACATTCCCGAGGAGAAGCCATATGGACCTACCCCGATGCAGCCCTGGGTGCTGGAGCAGCCGTGTGGAGACCCCTGCCAATGCTGAGATGCTTACACGTTCACTGATTCGGCTTTCCTCCTGCAGTCGGCATCATAGTGTGTGTTTTGTGAGATGGAGGAGGACTTTGTGGATTGGTGTCGGACATATGGGTTAATGTTGGACTTGTGGTCTTAGGTAGCACTGGGTTGGGATGTTTTCTTGATGTGCACTTACCCTTTATATAAAACTCTCTCTTATACATGAGTTTCTGTGGATTTGTTTCTCTAAAGCACCCAGATGAACACACCTGCTTTAAAATCAGGAAAGGCATGCATGAGGGCCGTAGCCTCCCCACACCTGTTCAATGTGTATGTTAAGCAGATCATCCATCAGTGAAGCAGGACTATATGAGGAAGGAGGTGGCCTCAGGATCTGAGGAAGACTTGTTACCAACCAGTGATAGGCAGATGACACCACCTTGCTTGCTGAAAGCAAAGAGGACTTGAAGTGCTTACTGATGAAGATCTTTATGGCGAAGAAAATCGAGTATGCCAGGGACTGGCAGAAGAACAAGCAAATCCGTCTTGGAAACCAGAGTGCAACCAGAGTGCTCCTTAGGGAGAGGATGGCGAGACGTGCTTTCATGTACTTTGGAGGGCTTGTGATGAGGAGGGGTTGGTCCTGGGAAAAGGACATCATGCGTGATCGGCAGAGTGGCTGACACCAATCCACAAAGTCTGCAGTCGGGCATTTTGTTGGTCATAGGGTTGGTTGCTATGAGTCAGAACTGACTGGATGGCACCTGATAACAACAACAACAACAACAGCAACAACAACAACAATGTAGTACACATTAGCAAGTTTGATCAGTAAGGTTATTAATGGTTACCAAAGCAAAAGCCAAACCCATTGGTGTTGATTCTGTCAAATAATGACGCTATAGGATAGAATAGAAGTGCCTCACAGGGTTTCCAGAGTTGTAGTCTTCAACAACAACAACAACTCCATTTTTATTATGCATTAGGTGAAGGTTTTACAGAGCAGTTCATCAGTTTTATATTAGACAACTCATCAAACCTCCCAAGGTCTTGCCCTGTTTCTATTATTTTTTGCCCACTGTCCTCTAGTTGAATATTCTCTCCCCCTTAACCCAAGTGAACACCTGTTAACTCTTTAGTCTGCGACTCCCCTTCCCTCCCTTTCCCTTCCACCCTGGGTCACCTTTTCTGGGTTCTTTATCATAGTGATTTAGTGCAATGCATTTCCTTTTGTGCTTGCCTAACTTCACCCAGGTTCATCCATGTTAGGAGATGCTGCACAGATTCAGCACTATTTTTTTATTAAATACTTTTATTGGGGGCTCTTATATCTCTTATCACAATCCATACATTCATCCATTTTGTCAAGCACATGTGCACATATGCCACCATCATCATTTTCAAATCATTCTCTTCCCACTTGAGTCCCTGATATCAGCTCCCTATTTCTTCCCCCTCCCTCCCCCTCCCACCCTCCCTCTCGAACCCTTGATAAGTTATAGATTATTATTTTCATATCTTACATCATCTGCCATCACCCCTCACCTGCTTTTCCATTATTCGTCCCTCTGGGAGGGGGTTCTAGGTTGATTCTTGTGATTGATTTCCCCTTTCTCCCTCCACCCTGCCTTAATCCTCCTGGTATCTCTACTCTCATTGTTGGCCCTGAGAGATTTATCTATCCTGGATAGATAACAGCCTGTGTTGCAGGCTCTTATCTGTAGCAGTGTGCATGCTCTGGTCTAATCTGATTTGTAAGATAGAATTGAGGTCATGATAGTGGGGGGAAGGAAGCACCAAAGAACTAGAGGGAAGTTGTGTGTTTCATTGGTACTATACTGCACGCTGACTGGCTCATCTCTTCCCTGTGACCCCTTTGTGAGGGGATGTCCAACTGTCTACAGATGGATATTGGGTCTCCACTCCATGCCCCTCCCATTCACATTGGGTATGATTTTGTTCTGGGTCTTAGATGCCTGCTACCAGATCCCACCGACACCTAATGACCACATAGGCTGGTGTGCTTCTTCCATGTGGGATTTGTTGCTTCTCAGCTTGATGGCTGTTTGTTTATCTTCAAGCCTTTAACACCCCAGACAGTATATATTTTTATAGCTGGGCACCAGCAGCTTTCTTCACCACATTTTCTTATGCACCCATTTTGTCTTCAGTCATCCTATCGGGAAGAGAAGCATCACAGAATGCCCAATTATTAGAACAAAGTGTTCTTGTGTTGAGGGAGTACTTGAGTCAAGGCCCATCTGCATGGCCCATGTCCATCTGCAACCTTAATTCTTAACATATACATATGAGTACATAGTTCTATTCCCCTCTCATTATATATAAATATGTTTGCATATGTGCATTCCTGTGTTTAGATTTCTGTAAATGCCCTTCGTCTCCTGGTTCTTTCCTCTATTTTCTTTTATTTTCCTCTTGTCCCACCATCATGTTCAGCCTTCGTTCAGGTTTAGTAATTCCTTGTTGCTACATTGCCCTTGATTACGCCCCCCTAGGCATCCTATGCCCTTCTCTCCCTTGATTTTAGTTCCCTTGTTGTTCCCTTGTCCCTGGGTTGGTTATCCCCTCTTCCTGCCTCCTACCTCCCCTTTTCCCATATCCTCCTGAACCATTGGTCCCGTTCTTTTCATCTCCCAATTGTTTATCCTGCCTATGTTATCCAGATAGACATGTAGAGACATTAATAAGCTCAAAATCCAGGCAAAACCAAGCAAAACAACAAAGGAAGTCAAGACCAACAAAACAATAATCACAACTACAAAAAGAAAAAACCAAAACAACAACAACAAAAAGAAAGCCACTGACAAAAATGGAAACACCTATAAATTGTTCAAGGTCTGTTTATTGGCCTTTACGCGTGTTTTCCAGTCCAGGCTGATGGGGTGCCGCACTCTGTCTCCAAAGCCTATTCTTGGTATTCTCTGGGAATTTCATAACTCTGCTCCCCTTGCTGCTCTGTTGCATGCCCTCAGTGTTTCACCCCAGCGTGATGGGTCAGATTGTGCACAATTCCCGCACTGTGTCTCCAGATTCAGCACTATTTTTAATGCTGCTTATTATTCCATTAGGAGGCCTGGTGGTGTCCTGGTTTTACATCGGGCTGCGATCCCTCCATAAGGTTAGCAGTATGAAACCACCAGCCACTCTACGGGAGAAAGATGGGGCTTTCTACTCCTGGCAAGAGGGACAGTCTCAGAAACTCACAGGACCCTTTCTTTTGGGTCGCTCTCAGTCAGCATCCACTCAATGGCAGTGGGTTTGGATGATCCCATACCAAAGTCTACTTATCCATTCTTCCTCTGTGAACCTTGAGGTTGTTTCTCTCTTTTTCAAATCGGTAATCTTTATGGAAGCAGACTGTCGCCTCTCTCTGCTGTGGAGCAGTTGAGATGGATTATTCCAACAGTTTCCGTCATTGTTAAGAACTGAAGAAGCATGACTTGTTCAAAGCCAACCAGTGCTAGTAGAGCCGGCACTCTACATGATTCTTGAATCAGTCCTTTCAAAGGTTTACCATCTTTTAAATTCAACAACGGCTTATTTAGAGCATGTTCCCCCCGTGCTCGGTTCTATAGTTTTGTGACAAAAATATGCAACTTGATCTTGTTTGCCTATTTTAATGTAAGATAGGATTTGTGATGTAAAATAGTTCTAGAAGCAATTCTTTAAAGTTTATCTTGTAAATTCTAATTGTATGTATTACATATTATTATTACTTGTGCCTTAAGGTAAAGATGCTGCCAACTCCTTCCAAATTCCATTACATCTTCAATCTCCGAGATCTGTCCCGAATTTGGCAAGGAATGTTAGTGATAAAAGCTGAGGAGTGTGATTCCGTCGCTACTCTCCTGTCACTTTTCAGGCATGAGTGCAACAGAGTGATTGCAGACAGGTGTGTATCAGAGCATTTGCATTTCAACATACTGTATAAGAAGAGCCCTGGTGGTGCTGTCAGGTAAGCGTTGGACTGCTAACCATAAGGTTGGTGGTTCAAACCCAAGGCCACTCTAGTGGACAAAGGTGAGACTATACATTCATGAAGATTTACAGCCACAGAAAACCTACGTAGGGTCATTGTGAGTTTGAATTGACTTTCTGGTAGTGGGTTTTTAAAAATACGTTTATGCCACTAAATCCAATTTTGTATTATGTACCCAGATAAATAGAATAAGTGCAAGATGTTTAGATGTCATTTTCCCACCTGCTGGTCTCCTTAAAAAAATTCTGTGCTAATTCCCCTGAGCCTGATTGCAGTCCTACATCTTTGTCAGTCACCATTTGAGAGTGCTGGTAAAGTTCAGAGGCACGCCTTAGTTAACCTTTTAGGCGGTCTGCTTGCTGGAATCCGGTGCGTCTGTTAAGCTTTCTCTTCAAGCCTCACTTTCGTCATCTGTAATATCTGATGGTAATTCCAATACCGCCACCACCCAAATTGTACAATATCTACCAGAGTGTGTCTCCCATACAAGGAGGGCTCTTCGAATGATGATGGCAACAAATGTACAAATGTGCTTGACACAATGGATGAATGTATGGATTATGATGAGTTGTACGAGCCCCCAATAAAATGATTTAAAAAAAAGAACTCTTCAAAGGTTAGCACCCCCTTCCTTCTCTGATACAATAAATACAAAAAGACCCTAGGCCCACATGCACTGTCTGCCCACAAACTCAGAAATAAAATACCTTTGGTCTGACCTAGGTGAGTTACCTATATTTTCCAAAAGTGATATTATTAATGGCATAACTGCCTTGAATGGAATTATGTCACTGTCAAAACAGAAGAACATATTGTCCCCCTGTCGGAAGGGGCCAGGGAGCCCTGCTGATACAGTGGTTGCACATTGGTCTGCTAACCTCAAGGTCAGCAGTTCAAAAGCACCAGTCTCTTCTCGGGAGAGAGATGAGGCTTTCGACTCCTGTGAGGAGACTCCGAAACCTACAGGGGCAGTTCTATCCTGTCCTATAAGGTCACTGTGAGTCAGAATCGAAACTCACAGTGGAACTTCTGCTTTGTCCTCTGAGCCCCAGTGAGTTGGGATCGACTAGAGGGCAGTGAATTTGGTTTTGGGTTGATCCCGAAGGAAGACAGGGATGGGGTCGGGCTACGAGGAGACGGCGGGAGGTTGAAGCCAGGTGCATGTAAAAGATGCATCCACATTTTGCGTTTTCACTTCGGACATTTTAAATTTCAGATTTATCACTCCTGAAGATGAGCAGTGGTTTAGTGTACACCTTACTCGTGCTATTGAAGAAAATGTGAACTCAGAGGCGGTGTCCAATATGGTCCATGAACCATACTTCGTGGACTTTCTCCATGACATGCCAGAACCGACGGGCGATGAACCTGAAGACACTGTCTTTGAAGTTCCCAAAATCTATGAACTGGTATTTATTTTTATCCTCAAGAAAATAGCTCTTCGTTACCTAGCTAGGACTCCTTGTCTCCCCTTATCTGGGCCTCCCATGGGATGGCTGCAGCTTCTAAGTCCTTTGTGTGTTGTAATTCATAGTCAGTGTGAACCAAGTTAAATACTTTTGTCAACGAAACCCATTAAAGTCAGGCGTAAGACCAACATGCCCCTTGTTGCCACTGCTATTGAATGCTGCTTGGAAAGTTCTGGGTGATGCTATCAGGGGAGGCAAATAAAATAGATCAGACAGGGAAAAATTAAAATATCATGCAGTAATAAATAATTATAAAACACAATAGTGATCTTCTACCCAGGGTAAGGAGCTCTACTGGGGCAATCATTAAATTACTTGGCCACTAACCCAAAGGTTGGCTATTTCAGGAGAAAGAGGTAGCAGCCTGCTTTCATAAAGATTACAACCATGACAGCCCTATGTTGTAGTTGTTCTCTGTCCTTTAGTGTTATTATGAATTCTAATTCACTGGGTGGCAACAGGTTTGGGCTGGCAAATTCCAGCCCATGGGTCCAATCTAGCCTGCCACCTGTTTCTGTTGGATCTGTGGGCGAAGGAAGGAGCTTTAGTGGTCTAGTGGTCTAGTGGCTTATGCAAGAGGCCACAGACTTGATGGCAGTGAGTTTGTGTTTTTTGGAGGTGAGCTAAGAATGGTGTTTATATTTTGTTTTTTTAAAATGAAATATTATTTATAGGAATTATAAATATTAAATATTTATAAATATAAATATTTATCTCCATTTATAAATTTAAAAAAGCAAATAAAACCAAAAAAATTATTTGTTACGTTCTGACATGACTTACCCTGGGTAGAAGCTGGGCACCGGGCTTCCTGAAAGGGAAGACAGGAATAATCTTATGCTGGAATTTTCCAATTAGTGTGGTTAGGCTTCAGACATCTGAAACCAAATAATTCACAGTAGATTAAGATGAGGCAAATCTCTGGGAACCCATGGGGGGTTGTAGTTTGTATGATTTTCTTCCCAGAATTACTTTTGGATTCCTTTATAATGGCTACTTGCGTAGATATGTAGGTCTTAATAAATAATACTCTTTTTCTACGCCACCCCTCAGGTGCCGAACTTTGAATTCCTCTCAGAAAAGCTCCAGCAATACCAGAGACAGTTCAATGAAATCATTCGAGGAGCCTCGCTCGACCTGGTGTTTTTCAAAGACGCAATGACTCATCTGATCAAGGTTCGTTCCTATTGACTATTTAAACCTGTTCAGAGGCTTAGTAAATTTCCGAGATAAACTTTTGGAGAGAATAAAGACTTTGATCGGGTAGCTTCTCGAAGAATGTCCAGAGATGGGTTCATCTCACGGGCGGAAAGTAAAAGCAGAAGGCAAGCGCCTCACTCGAATCCAACTGCTCTGCAGCAAATGCTTTTCAAGGGCAGATGCATTGTTTTGCATTGAGAGATTTGAATACATGGCATGCAAAGCATCCCAGAGTTTTACTTTCCTAAGCTGGAGAACCCTGTGAAGGAAGTGCAGTGCCCCCCACATTACGTTTTGACAGTTTTGACAGATGGCAATTCTGTCCTGCCTCCCTGGGAGGGAATTCTGTCCTGCCTCTCCGGGAGGGAGTTGATGGCTACACACACACACACACACACACACACAGTCTAATTTGGCTTGTAGATTATGGACAAACTGATGGGGAAAGGCTAATGGGGATGCAGCCGTGGCCACTTTACCAGCTGCCTTAGAGTTTGCGCTGACTCATGGTGACCCCGTGTGGATCACAGGCAAACTGCCCTCCCTTCCTCTATGACGGATTTTCCAGACTGTGGTGCCTTTGGGTGGGCTGACCTTCCAGGTAACAACGGAGACGGTGGTTAGCTTTTTCCACTACCCGGGGAACTCCAAAGGGAGGCATGGGCCTGGGGAAAAAATAGGTACCAACCAGATGTGGCATGAAAAATGAATGTGGCTTGATTCAAGTTCTTGCACGATTGGCTGGTACACAGGGAATTGCTATCGAGAACAAGAACTTAGGGCAGTTGGCTAATGAAGACACTCTCAGCTATTCATTTTACAGTTGTTCTCTGCAAATTGGTGAATTTTCAGATGTCCCAGGTCCATTTTCACGTTTATCCATCCAGTCAGCAAATAACGATTGAGCTCCCATCGTGGCTGGCTCTTGGAGACCTGAGACATCATCGTCCTTGGTACAGAAGCACAAACATGATGCATATATTTAAAAGTATGTGGTGCGATGAACACTTACCAAGGTATTGCTACTCATCTGCCAGATGTAAAACGTGTCTGAAAATAAAGCAACATGCTTTTAAGTGGTAATATTGGATTTAGTGACCCCTCTAGGCAGCCTTCCGAATCAGTGACACTCGTGTAAAAGACAGCTTTGGTAATATCGGTACCTGGCCTTCACAAGAGTTGCACTGCAGTACCTACCGTACCTTCTCTGAGGCAATCGACTACAGCAAAGCCATTCGCAAGACTGCAGATTTGTGCTTGACGCCCTGGAGGAATGCATGGGTTGCGCTAAGAGATGTAAGAGCCCCAATAAAAGTGAGAAGAAAAAAGACTGCAGGTTGCCCCAGTCTTTTTCTACAATGCCCCCCTGCCCTCCCCGATCATCAAACGTAAAATGTGGGTGCCTAAAATGTTCCGTTGGCCAAGAGACAATGGAGGTAGTGTTTGTTGGAGAGAGTGAGGCATCTGCATAAGTCGGTGTGCTTCACTGATGAAGAGGAAGAAAAGAGCCATCAATTTCCTTCAAAAACCTACCAGATATGGAGTCAAAAATAGCAGAGCACACACTCATATACACATGCACTCAAACACAGGTGCACACCCACACACAAGGAATAATTTTGAAATAGGAGATGGTAAAGCCAATTTATTCTGTTTTATTTAGGATATAAATATAGACAGGTAAGGAAGAAATTCAAATGGAAGAAGTTGGTACGCAGCACACATACAACCAAACCTGGAATCCGTGTCAATATGTGAATCTTGTCTTCCAATCAATATGCTTTTGTTTCCAATCAGATTTCTCGGATCATCCGAACATCATGTGGAAATGCGTTGCTGGTGGGCGTTGGTGGCTCAGGAAAGCAGAGTCTCTCACGGCTGGCCTCCTTTATAGCTGGCTATCAAATATTCCAGATCACATTAACCAGGTAGGTTAAAATAAAGCACAACGGCATGGTTTTCCATAGTTCATTTCTCCGCAGTGAAGTGTTTACTTTGAACACACACATATCAACTTAGTGGATTTCCTTTGTAAGCAAATGTTTTACTGAAGTATAATGTATATAAGGAGGTGTGCCCAAATTGTGAGTGTACAAAGTAAATACACCCATGTAGCCACTACTTTTCTGGCAGTTTGTCCAAGTGTGGTAGCTTGTGTGTTTCTGTGCTGCTGGAAGTTCTGTCACTGGCATTTCAAATGCCAGCAGGGACACCCCACATGAACAGGGTTCAGCGCAGCTGCCAGACAAAGAGCAGACAATGAAGAAGACCCAGCTCCCCACTCTGGGTGAAGAAGCCATTGAAAACCTTTGTATGAGCCCCTAATAAAATGATTTAAAAAAAGAGAAAAACCTTATGTATAGCATTGAAGCATCCCCATATATTGAAAGCCTAAACAAAGGAAACAGAACATTGTTGGCAATACTGCTGTAGGGTGGGCTCCTCGGGTTTGAGGGCACTCGAAATGGGACTGCCGCGGAGCTGATTTCTGGAAGGGGAGTCAACCCCGGTGAAGTGAGTCTGTGGACTGCTCAAAAGACAAACCCACCTGTGTTGGAAGAAGTATGACCAGAGTTTTCCTTAGAGGCAAGGATGGTCTTGGTCTTCCACATTTTGAACATGTTGTCAGGAGAGACCAGTCCCTGGAGAAGGACATCTTGTTTGGTCAAGCGGAGGGGCAGCGGGAGAAGGAAGGCCCTCCACAAGATGGATGGACACCGTGGCTGCCCCAATGGGCTCAGCCTTAGGAACCGTCATGCATGGTCACTATGGGCTGGAGCTGACCTGATGGCACCTAACAACAGCAGTGTAGCCAGTGTCCAGATGAAGACTAAAACTTTGCTAGCACTCCCGAAGCACAAACCTCCCATGTCCTGTCCCAGGCGCCCCTTCGCCCCCAAACTCACTGCCATCATGTTGATTCCAACTGAAAGGGACCCTAGAGGGTGGTGAAACTGCCCCCGTGGGTTGCTGAAGCTGAAATGCTTTACAAGAGCAGAAAGCCTCACTGTTCTTCCTCAGAGCGTCTGGTGGTTTCAAACTGCTGGACTTGCAGTTAGCAGCCCAACACATAAACCACTATGCTACCAGGGCTCTCCTCAAGGCTAATCACTATTTTGCTGATGATCATTAAAACACATGCATTTAGTTTTGCCTACTTTGGGCTTTATATCAGACAGGATTTACCCTGGTGTGCCCGCACTTCCTTGTGCTCTATTTTTGCCAGATCCGTTCCCAAGAGTTGGTTAGTTCTTATTGCTAGATAGCATTTTGATTTATTGCATATTCATACAACTCATCAATGATTAAGTGCTTGGCTGATAACTGGTAGTTTGGCAATTACAACCCACCCAGCGGCTCTGGCTCTGTGGTGTAATAAAGACCTGGAGCTCTGTGCCTATCAAGATTGCAGTCTAGAAAGCTCGGAACAGACTGGATGGCACTTAACAACAACAACAACAACAACAACAACAACAACAACAGCTGTTTATAAAGATTGTTCTCCTCTTCGTAGTCCTTGGGCTATTACATGTAGAGCCACTATGAATAATCTTAGACACATCTGGATTTAAGTTGCAGTGGGGTACATGTTGGGCTGCTGACAGCGAGGTCAGCAGTTTGAAACCACCAGCCACTCTGAGGGAGAAAGATGAGGCTTTCTACTCCCAGAAAGATTTACAGTCTGGGAAACCCACAGGGGAAATTTCACCCTGTCTTCTAGGGTCGCTGTGAGTCAGCGTCACCTTGATGGCAGAGCAACTGGTTTTGAGAAGTAAAATGGTTGGTATTGGGAGGCCTGTGTATGCTTATTCTTAGTAGTTGGATAAAGTCATTTCCCAAACTGCATGTACCAATTTATCGTCCCACCAACAGTGCATGGAGATCCCAGTTACTCCACGTCCTGCTCTACTTTGGAATTGTGAGTCGCTTGCATTTTATCAACTCCGCTGGGCGTACGACGGTGTCTCACTGTGGGTTCTGCTTGCACCCCCAGATGGACACTGAAGTCAAGCACTCTGTCCTTTCTCATGGGCCGCTTGGATGGCTTCCTTTGGCAAGGGCCAGTTCAAGTCCTTTGCCCCGTTTTTAAAGTGAGTTGTGGCTCTGCTTCTTACTGATTCTCAGGAATTCTTCGTGTCTTTGGGATACAATTCCTTTAGCAGGGAAGGTATTACAAACATCTTCTTTCAGTCATTGTCTTACCTTATCATTCTCTTAATGTGTCTTCTGTTAAATAGACTCACAATTTTAATAAAATGTAATTTATCGCCCCCTGACCCCGTATGTTTAGAACCTTTGTTTACCTCAAGTCCATGAAGCCATTCCCCTGTGGTTTCTTTCACATTTGCAGCCACAGTTTAGTGTCTTTACATTTAATACTGTCACCCAACCACAACCTGTTTTCTTACAACGTGCGAGGTAGGGGGTGGGTTTTTCTTATCTTTCAGATATAGACATGGAGTCATGGGAGAAAGGTGAAGCTTTCCACTCCCATAAAGCTTCCCCCCCCAGGGGCAGGTCTACTGTGTCCCCAGGGTCACTAAGGGTCGGAATTGACTCGGTGGCAGTGAGTTGGGGCTTTTCATTTGAAGCATCCAGGTGTCATTGCTCCATTTATTGAAAAGATCATCTCTCCCTTGCCATATTATAGGTGCCATTTTTACCATGAATTAACTGGTCACGCATGTGACTGTTCAGTCAGTTTTGCTGGTCTACTGCTCCCATTGCATTATTGCCCACTAGTTTAATGACTATTGCTTTTTATTAGGTCTTGATATTAGATAGTGCAAGAAGCTTTCCATATACATTGTCCTTGAAGATCATCTTGACTAATTGGGTCTATTTCCATGTACATTTTAGATCATCTTATGCATTCCTCCCACTCACACCTTTCATTTCGCTTCCAAACAAATAGAAAAGAAAACTTAAAAATAAAATTTGATGTTATAAGAGCATTTTAAAATATCAACTATATAGGGATTAATCCATTCAAATTAAGCTTAATGTTTTAAATTAGCTATCAACATTACAAATCGGGGAGAGTTCAAATGACACACACATTTCCTATGCGCTAAAGAAATAAAAGATGCAACATGAACAGACATATGCACATCTATGTTCATTGCAGCAATTTTTATAACAGCAAAACATGGAGACAACGGAAACGCCCAACTATAGAGAAATGGATAAACAAGCTCTGGTACACTCACAGTATGGAATTTTATGTTTCAATAAAAAACAATGACAACTCTCTTAAACACCTCAAAACGTGGAAAAACTAGAGAACATTATGCTTAGCACACTCAGTCAACTTTACAAAGATCAATATTTAATATCACCATAGTCATAAGGAAAAAGAAAGAAGAAATGTGGCTTGTACACCATTAGTCAAGACGACAAGGAGGCCAGGGACGAGAGGAGGGACAGGGAGAGGCGAGGGATGGAAACAAACAGTCCCACAACACTTATGTGGAGAACGCAATAGAACATTACAGTTGATTTCACTTTTAAACATGTGCTGTACAGATATATATAGCATTAGTCTTAAAAAAAACTAAAACAAAAACCTTCCAGATTATGTATCCCTCAAGCCTAAATAGTAGTTTGAGTGGCTTAAAAATAATAATAAACAGCAGGTGGAAAGTAAAATTAAAATGGATTAGGAGTCTTTAAGGACAAGTTTATCTCAAACAAACAAACAAATCTATGACTTTCTTTGAAATCAATAAAAGGGCTGGCCGCATTGGCCCTGCATTGCCAGTGGACTGGAGTTGAGCACACTGCACCCTTAGATGGGACGGCAGTGATCCCTCTGGTGTACCAGAGGCCCAGCAGCCCGGCACCACTCACCAGCCTTACCTTTCTGATCATGGTAGGCTTGGGAGTTTGTGGTCCTGAGGTAGGTGTTGCTGTGCCAACTGCAGTCAGAAATGACAGAGACCTACCTGCATACGGCAGACGACATGGGCTTAGCGCACAGGAGGCAGGTAAAGGAAGTAGAGAGGACTCCGTCATTGACTGCATATGGGGTGAAGAAGAGGAAAGAAGAGTGAGTTTGGGGCGATACTTCGATGTCTCTAGTGGTTTATATCAACCTGCATTAAAAGAAAAGTCTTGTTCACATTTATAGCTGCTTCACTTGTTTGCAAGTCCCAAGGGTGGACTCTTGTAAATGTCTTATTTATAATTACTATCAAAGCACGGCTTCTTACTAACACTATCAAACTTTGTGTTGAGCAAGTTAATCAATGATCGTTTTCAAGGTGTAAAATGAGAATTTCAGTGACCAACCGCTCTGTGGGAGATGGATGTAGCCGTTGGCTTCCATGAAGATTTACAGCCTCGGAAGCTCTCTGAGGGCAGTTCTACTCTGTCCTATACGGTCGCGATGAGTCAGAATTGATGGCAGTGGATAAGATGAGAATTCAGTGCAGAAGCTATTGCCTATGAGATGTCTGTATGAGAGACTGGGCAGGGAGGAGGAAATGCAAAATGGCCACTAGAAACCAAGGAGTTGAGAGTAGGGATGTGTATCTATTAAGTGAGGTCTAGAAATGAGAAAGTAGCAACCAGGGTGACGAAACCATAGCACAGTTCGTCTGGGAGCTGTTGGGGGGTACAAACTGTTAAATGTTGGATTATTAGATTGCTAAGGGACAAGTTGCCCCTTCCAAGCCACCTAGAGACAACTTGGGAAACAAGCCTGTCCATCTGCTTCCAAATCCAATAACCGAATTGTATGTGAATGGATATATTGGATTGTGTAAGATATGGCAAAACAAAACAAAACAAGACTATTATAGGAAAGGGAAAAACACGGGTTCCTGGGGAAGTAGGGTGGGGAGAAAGGGGATCTGATATCAAGGAGTTCAAGAAGAAAGAAAATGTTTTGAAACTGATTGTGGTAGCCATTGTACCACGCTGTTTGATGTGATTGAATTATGGAATGATATGATATCTGTAAGATGATATCTGTAAGATAATATCTATAAGATAATATCAGTAAGATAATAAAGTGATTAATAATAATAATGATAAACGATGACAACCTTTGGAGCAGCCCTGCTCTGCCCACCATCAGAACGGAAGTCCCCTTGATGACCACGGACACTCCTGGCAACATCTTCAGGGCTCACAGCAACCTTACACGTGCTTATCGTTGTTCTTGCCGATGGAGAAATAGAAGTTGAGAAGTGTGAAAACACTTCTCTAGGGTCACAGAGCATGCATGTGAGCTGAGGTCTTTCTGATGGCAAAGCCCACAGTTTTTCCATTGTGTCGTATGGTGTATAGTAAATCAAGTGATGACTTCATTGTGGTTTTTGCCATTGTCCATACTCCTCAGAAAGTCTGTACAGCACTCTAGAAGATGTCTGCTTTTGTTAAACAGCAACAACAACATCACATTGCTACTGTTAGCACATTTTAGCAGCAAAGAGAGTAAACAGGAAAAGATCTTCTCCTTTCCTACTCTGTAACCACCTAATTACAAAATTTCAATTATTTATACATTATGTAATGCAGTCTCCCCTTCAGGCTTGCTCTCTATATAGCCACTTAGTGAGTTATGCGGTTTGCCACCATATATAATTTATCGCTAATTTTATTAATAATTTATTGTGAATCTCTCACCAGTCCAAATTAGTCAACTACATTTCAGATACGACCTTTGCATTCACTTCTGTGAATATAGCCTGTTGCTGGAAACTGTCAGCTTGCGGGGACTGGGAAAAAATGTTTCTCTGGTCTCAGTGACTTTTCATAGATCACGTCTGGTAGACTCCTCATTTCTCACTTCTTTCACTAAAGAGAACACAGCTGCATGAGCAGTCACATGAGGGCTCATCTCCATGTGTGTGCGTTTTTAGCAGGCACCTGGATTTGCAGTCCACCAGAGCAGGTCCAGGTTGTACTGTGATGACCATGGGTGATTATGAGATGTTGAGATACACTATGACTACCTGTTTTTATAATGCTAATGTTTCTGCTACTCTTAAGGTCTTACAATGTGAGTAACCTAACAGAGGACTTAAAGAGTCTGTACAAAGTTGCTGGCGCTGATGGGAAAGGCATCACCTTCATCTTTACTGACAATGAAATAAAGGACGAAGCTTTCTTAGAATATCTGAACAACCTGCTATCTTCAGGGGAGGTAAGTCTCTTACAGTTAGAGAAAATGTGCATATCTTTTAAAAACATTGATTCTAGATTCGTTCGGATGCTCCAATCCATTTCAAATAGTATCCCTTATTTGCCCTTATTTGATCCTTTATCAATCCTCAAATGGATCCTAGGAGAAGCAGTACAGTGAGTCAAATGTGGGGTTGGGAACTAAAAGGTTGCTGGTTCCAACCCCGCAGTTGCTCCATGGGAGGAGGAGGAGGATGCTAGTGTGAAGATTGGATATAGCCATGGAAGCCCTATGTAGCAATTCTATTTTGTCTTTTAGGGTCTCTCCGAGTTAGAATCAAGTCAGCGGCCATAGGTTTGGGGGGTTTATGATGTGGTAGAATTCACACTTTCCACGTGGGAGACCTGGGTTCTATTCAGTGGATAACCTATTCAGGACCTCATGGGCAGCCACTGTCTGTAAGTGGTGGATCACACGTTGCTGTGGCACTGAACAGGTGCCAGTGGAGCTTTTAGAACCAGAGAGAACTGGCAATCTACTTCCCAAAATCAGCCAAAGAAAATCCTATAAATCACACTGGTCCTACTGCTGTGCGTCTTAGGGATGGTGCAGGAACGGGCAATATTTCCTTCCATTGTGCAATCAGAGTCTGACTCGATAGCAGCCAGTGGCAATAGATAGGGTTATAGATTGTTGGAAGAGTTACTCTATCAGTAAGCTGATATCGATTTCACCACTTCGGACACCTCTTGGGCCAGCATGTCCAAGGATGCTTATACCTTTGGTGCTCCAAGAGAAGGATTCTTGAGACTCCACATATAGTTGTACTCCTGGCTAAGATTTACGACAGTGTGGGATCCAGCCTCACAACCAAACGATCCTGAGGATCGGCATGTGCGATTATGGAAGAGAAAAATGATAGACAGTGGGGCATACAGAAGTCTGCCCCGATATCGGGATCAAGACAGCAAGTTTATTTCACCAAGAGTATATATAGCAGAGGTGTGCAAGCCTCCATCAGGCACAAACACAATAGATTGGGCAAAGTGTGCATCTGAGCTACCCTGATTTCTTTGGGGAGAACATCTCACAGGAAGTGTCTGGCAGGTGAGTGAGCAATGTTGCCTAATGGTGACAATCGCCCTGCAAGAATATTAAACAGCAGACCGGGATGCTGTAGAGATAAGCATAGTCTCAACAGCATGTGTGAGAAACTAGGTGTCTGGAGGAAGTAACTTATCATTTTATAGAGGTTACAGGTGAAGAGCCTGTTTCCTGAAGAATATATGTATCTGGCTTCCTCTCAACTTACAGGAAAAGGGTGGATATTTTGCTGTAAGTACCAGGCAGCTGTGGGACAAAGGGTACGCTGACCTCTAGCATGATAAAGAGAAAAAGGAACTTCAGTGCTTCTTAGGCATCATACAGCAAAGTAATGAAAAGCCAGACACCCGTAAAAGGCAGATTTACACAGGCTGATATGCTCTTCCATGTGGGCTTTGTTGCTTCTGAGCTAGATGGCCACTTGTTTACCTTCAAGCTTTTAAGACCCCAGACGCT